TATTTTTAAGAATCTTTGTACTCTTTTTCATAATGGCTGCACCATTTTATATTTCTACTAATAGTGTGAATGGGATCAACATCCCCACATTCAAACCAACACTTGTTATTCTCTGTTCCTTTGATAATGGCCATCTTGATGGGTGAGAGCTGATATCTCATTATAGTTTGGATTTGCATTTCCCTAATGATTAGTTGATGTTGAGCATCCTTTCACATATTTATTCTTCATTTATATATCTTCTTTGGAGAAAAGTCTATTTAATGCTTTCACTCATTTTTGAATCTTGTTGCTGTTTGGGATCTGGAATGTACCTGTAAAACCCACGTGTTAAAGTCTTGGTGTCTGGCCCAAGGTGCTATTAGGAAATGGTGGAATCCTTAGGAGGTGTGACTTAGTGGGAAGCAGTTATGTCACTTGGGTAGTGCCTTTGAAGGGGATATTGGAGCCCTTGCCCCTCTTCTTCTTTGCCTACTGGCTGCCGTGGGGTAAGAAGCTTTCTCCACCACATGCTCCTCGCCGTGATGTACTACTACCTTGTTATAGGCCCAAAGACAATGTGGCCAAGTGACCATGAATTAAAACTTCTAAAACCAAGAGCCAAGATAAACCTTTCCTTCTCTAAGTAATTTTTTTCCAGGTATTTGTTTTAACTAGAAAAGACTGACTAACACACTGGTCATTTGTTTCTTGTACTTTTTGAGTTGTAGACATTCTTTACATATTTCAGATTGCAACCCCTTATCAGATATAATATTTCTAATTATTTTCTCTCATTTTAAAGGTTGTCTTTTAATTCATTGAAATTGTAGATCCATTGAATTGGTAGATCCATTGAATTGGTAGATCCATTGAATTTGTAGATCACTTCTGGACATTTTAACAAGATTAAGCCTTCCAATCCATAAGCATTGGATGGTTTTCTATTTATTTGTATGTTCTTTGATTTCTTTTAACAGTGTTTTTTAGTTTTAAGTTTACAAGTCTTTCATCTCTTTGATTAAGTTCATTTCCAAGTATTTTAACTTTTTTGACCTTATAATATATGGTATTCTTTTCTTCATTTCTTTTTCAGATTGGACATTGTGTGTAAAAATGTTACTGATTTTAAGTGTTAATTTTGTATTTGAAATTTTGTTGAATCCATTTATTAGTTCCAACAAGTACTTTGAAGAACCTTTGTGGTTTTCTAAATATAAGGTCATGTCATCTGTGAATAGAGATAATTTCATCTTTTTCTAATTGTATGCTCTTTATTTCTTTTTTTTTGGTCTAATTGCTTTTGCTAGAATTTTCAATACTATATTGAATAACTATATCCAATACTATATTGGTGAAAGTATTGGATATAGTATATCCAATACTATATTGGTGAAAGTGACATCTTCATCTTGTTCCTGATACTAGAGAAAAAGTGATTTTTTTTGTTCCATTAAATGTGGTGTTATTTGTAGTTTTCTCATATTTGGCATTTATTAAATTAGTTTCCTCTTATTCTCAGTTTGTTGAATGGTGTGTGTGTGTGTGTAAAGCAATGTTAAATTTTATCGAATGCTTTTTCTACACCAACTGAAATGAATTGTGTAGTATTTGTCCTTCATTTTATTAATATGGTACCTTACACTGATTGATTTTCATATGTTAAATCATTTTTATATTCCTGGTGCAAATTCTAATTTCTTATGGTATATGATCCTTTTAATGTGTTGTTGAATTCACATTCCTGGTATACTTTTGAAGGTTTTGCATCTATGCTCCTTGGGGAATTGGCCTGTAGTTTTCTTTCCTTGTAGTGTCCTTGTCTGATTTTGGTATTAGGATAGTGTCCTCATAAAATCAATGTAGGAATGTTTCTTCATCTTCTAGTACTTGGAAAAAATTAAAAAGGATTGGTATTAATTTTTCTTTAAATGTTTGAGAGAGTTCTCCATTGAAGCCATCTTATTCTGGCCTTTTCTTTGTTGGGAGAGTTTTAATTTCAGTGTCTTCCTGGTTATAATTTTGTTCAAACATTTTACTTCTTCATAGTTTAGTGTTAGTATGCTTCAGGAATTTATCATTTACTATAAGTTATATAATTTGTTAGTACTTAATTGTTCCAAGGAGTCTCTTATAATCCTTTTTATTTCTGTGACATCAGTTGTATTGTCCTCTTTTCCATTTTTTATTTTAGCTACTTGAATCTCCTCTATTCTCTCTTTGTAATCTAGCAAAGGTTTGTTCATGTTTCTTTTTTTATCTTTAAAAAAAAACTCTTTTAGCTTATTGATTGCTATTGTATTTATATTCTGTTTCTTTAGCTCTACCCCAATCATTATTATTTCTTTCCTTTTGCTGACTGTGGATTTAGTTTGTTCCTTTTCTCATTCCTTGAATGTAAAGTTGGGTGATTGACACACAATCTTTTTTGTTTCTTTCTGTAACAAGTCATGTACTACTATGTATCCCCTTTCAGTATTTCCTTCACTGCAAATCATAAATTTTGGTATGTTATGTGTTGGTTTTCATTTGTCTCTAGATATAATTTCTATATCTCCTTGATTGTTTAAGAGTATATTTTTAAATTTCTACATATTTTTGGATTTTTTTCCTTCTGCTATTAGTTTCTACCTTTGTTTCACTCCATTGTACATAAATTGTTTTTGAAAAAGGCTTTATAATAATGGAAAAAACATATCTATGATTTCAAGTTACTTTCTCTTGTCTTGTATGTTAACAACCTAGTCAACATCTGTTCTAATATAAAACTATCATTTCAAGGACAAAATATTAAGATATTTAGACATCAGGGTTTTTTAAAAGAATGAATAAGAAGTAAACAACTTAAAAATCAGAAATTTGACAATTACCAATATCTGATGACTTTTTGTGTGTGTGGATTAAATTTTATTTTAGAATCATTTGCCACATATAAATATATTTAGTATTAAATAAGATAATATATAATAGACAAAATATGATTTTAAATTAGTAGACCTCACTATTTTTACAGAAATATATAGACTTAAACTTGAATTTTCATTTAGGTATCTATGGAATACAAAATTTGTTATTATTACAAATAGAAGATAGAGTTTTGATGTGAGAAACTGCAAAGATAATTTGCTAGAAAATTACACAGAAGTAATAACATCAAGTGAAGGTGTTACATTTTAAAGGGTACTACCTGAAAACTATTGATTATTAATTACAAAGGAAAATTTTAAATGAACAATTTAATGACATTTTTACTCACAATTATAAACAATTATAAACTATTACTGTTTTTATTTTTTGAATCATACCCCAATACCACCATCAAACTTTAAAAGACTGTCTAGAGAACAATGCAAGCATATATTGTGCTGTCTATACAATGCCACTAGCTGCATGCGGTTATTGAACGCTTGAAATATGACTAGTGGAATTGAAAAAAGTGACTTTTAATTAAATTAAATTTAAATTTAAACAATCACATTTGACCAATGCCTGTTATATTGTATAGGGAAATTCTAGAAGAAGAAAAGTCACAGACCCTCATTATTCTGGGCTGACTTAAATCACAGCATTCAATTTGTTATGGTAAGAAATGGGGTGGAAGGCATACAGACTAATGTAGGCAAACTTCAGTGCAATTGAAGAGTAATGGTAAGAAAACTAGAAACTGTGTCATAGAAAAACTGGGCTGAAGGAATTTGAGGAGACCAGAGCATGAAAATGATAATTCACATAAGCAATTAATGATGCAATGGTTGGAAGTAATTAGACATTTAAAAATATCCTGTAGGAAGAATTAGAGCTAATGGGTAGCTCAATACAGGGAACACATTTTTTTTTAAAATATGAGTTCCCTTATTTAGAGTCTAGTCTTAAGCTGTACAACTTGGGCTTTGTCCTGATGGTATAGCATTACAGTGCTACTTCCTTCCACTTAGAAACACAATTCAAACTGGAAATTTGGTAATAAAATTCCAAATTTTTAGAAGTAGAGTATATAAATGGAAAGGGTAGATCCTATTATGATTAGAGGAATATTTAGAGAGAAATCTTATGAAGTGATATGAGGACCTGTAGAGGGGATACCATATCACACTATAGCAGTCAGCAAGTACTAGGGTTTCAGGTCTATACACTTTCATAATACTAAGTTGGTTTCTTTCAATGAATGCGTGGGTTTGAGATTGTGATCCATGAGTCTTAATGAAATCTAGAGGACAATTGGTTACAAAAGTTCAAGTAATTTTTCTAAGCAAGAAGACATTTTTTTTTTTGAGGCCATTAAGCTTTCTCCTACAAATCACATGTTTTTTTTTTCTAAATTTGAATCATTTAGACTGTGCATTCTGGCTCATACAATTCTTAGATGATGATGATTGTCTATTTATATATCAGGCTCAGCATTGGGTTTCCAGGCCTTTAAATTAATTTTCCTCTTCACAGTAACACTATTCACAATGGCCAATTGGTAAAAACAACCCAAATGTCCATCAACAGATGAATGGATAAACAAAATGTGGTATATACATGCAAAGGAATAACATTCATTCTTTTAAAAGAAGGAAATTCTAATACATGCTGCAGTAAGGATAATTCTTAAAGATACTGTGCTAAGAGAAATAAGCCAGACACAAAATGACAGATATTTTATGATTACATTTGTATAAGACATCTAGAGCAGCCAAATTTATAGAGACAGGAAGTGCTATGGCAGTTGCCAGGGGTTGGATGTAGGGCATAACAGGGTGTTATTGTTCTATAGGTACAGAGTTTCTGTTTGGAATAATGAAAATGCTCTGAAGATGGGTCATAATGATGATTGCATAAAATTGTGGATGCACTTAATATCACTGAACTGCATACTTAAAAATATTTGAAATGGAAAATGTATACTTACCTACCATTTAATTTCTTTTACATTTGGTTTCCCCATGACTTCAATTGTGCTAAACTATCCTTGCAGTATGTATGAGATCATCTCTAGAGAATGGCTAGGATTGTTGTTTTTTTTCTGTATTTTTCCTCTAGCAAATGTAGTTTAAAAACATGCCAATCTGATTTTCAATAACATAATCAGGTGGATGGATATTATTAGTGGAATATGCAATTGTCATGTCCCAAGCATCAATAATACCCACATTGAGATCCACAAAAATATCTTTCATGATAAGATTCTGAATATAGCCATGAAAGTCACTAAACATCTCAGTATTTTCATGTATCTCCCTGGTGTTTTCAGTTTTAAGAATCACTTTGGTCCCTGGGCTTCTCAAAAATAAACGTTTAATGGCTTTTTGAATATTGATGGCCCTACGGATAAAAATGTTGATGGGAAAGGGTCTGAAGTGTTGGCCAAGGGTAATGACAATTACCATGTCATCGTCCCCTGGCACTTGGTCAATTTCCTGTTGGATATACTTTTCATTTCTCACAGAGTACAGCTTTTCAGTAACAAATGGATGACTGTGTTTTTTCCACTGAATCAAGATTTTTCTTTCGATATCCAGAAGAACATGTGTTTTAAAGAACCCGGTTCCTGGATGATCAAAATATTTTAAGGCTGATGGAAAACAAATCAATAAATCTTTTAACAAAAGGAAAATGTACAACTTAAAAATGCATACAGCTTCTATAAAATCTAACCAAGATCTTTTCTAACTAGAGAATTGCCGATTAGGCAAGGTAGAGAAGTTTATCAGATGCATCACAATTTTAACAAAGTTTTTGAACTTTTTATCAGCATACATGAAGAGGAAAAATAGTGTTAATATCTGTAATTAAAAAAATAAGATTTAACTCTCTATTAAAAACTCAAAGCCAAAAATTTGGCAAACTTCACATAGTAACAAAACAAAGACCAGAAGAGGAAAGCAAAGAATTCTAATTATTATTTTTAAAATATTCTTAAAAGTGAACTATAATTTTAAAATAGAAAGGAAACACATACTTTTCACAACTTTTAGGAAATAATTCATCCACTGGCGCAGTGTTGAGTCTCCCAGGAGGTAAATAAATTTCATTTTCAAGCAGTCACTTATATCTTGCATTGTATTGAACTTGATCTGTTTGCAAAATGCTGAAATCCAACTTCTCTCCAACGTGTAACCACTGGGGGAGGGATTCTTCATTCCAATCTGACATTTCTTTTTTATGTTTTCACTCTCTGGCAATAAAAATTCCCATAGTAAGTTAACTTTCATTACCACAAATTATTTGGGAAATACTTTGCTCACTTTTTGCCCTTTGTTTCCTGTTCTCCTCTCACCCTCTTTTTGTCTCTCTGACTTCTTTTCTTCAATGAAATCATTTTAAAGGAATAAATTAATAGCTCTCATTGGATAGTTTTTCTTGGAGTGAGGTCAGTTTTCTCTTGTGCCTTAGTAATGGCTCCCTGGGCTCCACCTTTCCCACCAAGATCACTCAACTGTTGGGTGGTTAACAAAAGTCAGGGTGAAATGCGTGGTAGTAAAACAGCAGGGCTCAGTGGTCCAGCTGAATATTTCACCCAGGACATTGTCCTTGCTGATAAGACTCCTTCTCGTCAAACCACTTACCCATGAAAGAACCATGAACACATTTATGAAATGAGAGTCACACATTGTTTATTTTGTGGGTCCCAGAATCATATTCTCTGGTTAACCAATAAACCTTGATGTCTAATTATATCTCAAACTGAACATAATATTCTCAATAGGGTCTGACTAAAACAGAAAAACAAGCAGAGCCATGACTTCCTTGTTCTGTTAAAATAGCCCAAACTGTATTCAACTCACACTGTACCTTCACTCCAGTAAGATTCTGAGACCGCTGCTATATTTGCTACCTAAAAGCATATCTTTGTCATCTACTTACATTGTTGGGATTTGAGGTCTAAGTTTAAGGAATTTACATTTATTCAATTTGAATTACATCAGATTTTTTTGGGGGGGCTCCAAACAATAACAGTCAGTTACTATCTTCTAAGAAATTGCCTGACCTTAGTAGAAATTATTGTCCAGGCAAGATGGAAGTCTAAAAAAAAAAAAAAAGTGTAATGAGAACTTGAGTGGCTCAAGAGTCTCCAAACTTTCCTTGATATAAAAATTGGGCATAGATGACAGTTGCCTAGGCAGAGGAAGGATCTTTTTCACAGACTGTGAACATTAGGTCTAGGTCCAAGGTGTTTGGCAGAGATCTTTGCAAGTTCTAGATTCGCAGTAAACATTTGCTGAATGCACACACACACAAAAGGTAATTGGTAAATGTGTAACTGTTAATTGTTATAACGGAAGACATTTGCTTCACTGAAATTCACTTTGCTTCCAGTATAACAAGAACATCATTTTACGAATGAGATGACTTTGTGATGACTGTGAAAGTTCATGTGATAAAATTGGAAAACAAAACACAGAAATTGCTAGTTCATAGAATGTTAAGTGAGAAGGTCTGACTGAAAATTAAATTAGAATCCATCAGAGAAATTTCCTAACTGTGAATGTGTGCATCTCGTCAACGATGTTTTCATATAGCACTAGCACTCCAATACTGGTTTTGGGGGAATAAACCTCAAGTTCAAATACAAATGGTCTGTATATTTTGAGACAGGGCAACTGAAATCAATGGTTTCCCCAGACTTTTCCAGCTGACTCAGGATGAAAATTGGTTTACATTGACATGAAAATAATTTGTAGGAAGAAAATTCCTTCTTTAAAGACTAAGGTGATTGATATCATTTGACCCAGGAAATAAAATATCCAAATAGTGAATGTAGAATAAATGTGTCAAAGAAAGAAAGTCCTTTAGAGGGGTAAATTGTGAATTTGGCAGTCAAGAGCACACAAACTTACTGTTACATGGCAACACCTTGATGGAGTTGAAGTTCTTCATCATTTCAACTCCTATCTTGGAACTTCAAAAAATGAAAAAATAAGTTAACATCTGTCCAGATATTAAAGTAAGAAAGAATCACGGTTTTGGATGGATTGAACCACTCTTAACTCTCTACAAATGCTTTTTTTTTTCATTATTTTGATATTTAAGATATTCTGGGTGAAGTAAATGGGTCAGAAGTTTGGAAAACTTTAGAATTTGTGATTTGCACTCCAAATGCAATAAATTAAACCTACCTATCTGACCATCCTTTGATTTTTGTCTTTGAGGTGGTTCTCTACCACAAGCAATCTTCTTCATCTTTGCCAACTGTGGTGATTCAGGCCCTCCTCAATCTTTCACTAGACCAGTGTTTCTCAAACACACATCAAAATTACCTGAAGTACTTACTGCCAATCAGATTACTGAACCTCAACCCCAGAATTTCCGATTCAGTACTTCTGAGGTAAACCTCAGAATTTATCATTCTAACAAGGTCTTGAAGGTCAAGCTATGGGTCCAGGGCCATTACTTTGAAAACCCTGTCCTAAATCTTATCTTTGGGCTCCTTTGGTTTGGCTCAACCTCTCAGCTACCTGTCTTATTCTCCTATGTGAATCTTTCATAATCTTTCACCATCAACACTCAGGATAAGAACCACTAGCATGCCACCTCCTATGAGTGTCTGCCTCTCTAGTTTCACCTGCAGCCATTCCTCGCCTTCTCAGGAGTCTATTTTCCTTAGCCTGTTATCTCCTTGACAGCAGGAACCATGTTACTCTATCATTCACTGTAACCTTCCAAGTGGCCAACACAGTAAGTGTCACCTCCAGGTATTAGTCTTAACAAATATGCTGGTGAATCTATGTGATAAAATCAAATTCATTCAATGAGGATGAAAACCATTGGGGGAAGGTAGAACTTCCAGAACAGAGTCACAGGAATTTCCAGGAAATATAATAAGGATTATTTTCCAAGATTGAGGACAACTGCTTGAATTTTAGGAAAGCAGTTTTAGGTCAACTGAATAACATAATCCCCTATGAAGGGGGTCATACTCTGGAGAAATGAGAGGCCCCAGGGGCTAGGGAATGATAACTTCATGGTGGTGGAAACCCTGAGAGACAGTGCTATGGTCCCATGACTTGAAAAATAAAGTAGATTGGGGTTCCGAATACTACTCTGCAACTCACTAGATATGTGACTTTGGCCAAGCTATTTAGCATACTTGTCCTTAAATTTCCTTGTCTGTAAAATGGGCATAATAACAGTCACTCAAGAATATTTTTCCTAAGGATCATTAATATGAGAGAGGCATCTAGCTCAAAGACTGACACATTGTAGGTGTTCAAAAATGATAATTATTCAATGGAAAAAAATGGAAACTGATCAAACATTCTTCTTCATCTGCCTTGGATAAGGTTGAAGATAATGAAAGAGACCAAAACCTGATAACCTTGTAAATTTGGTTTACAAGGTTTACTAAAACCAAACTTTGATGATGTAGTAAGATTAGGATTAAAAATACGTATCAATGGTATGTAGGCATTCAGTTTAATATCTTCTGTCTTTGTGATTGTGTACATAAATCATGTTTTAGAAAGAAGATTATAAGACCATAATAGTAACCACGAGACTTGTGAAATGTGTTGTCTATAATGATATCTCCTCCTGTTGTAACCCCATGTTTATTTTCTTATCATGATTATCCATAAAACTCTGTTCAAAAGAAAAAGACTTGGGCTGGGGTTGTGGCTCAGCAGTATTACGCTTACCTAGCATGTGGGAAGCCCTGAGTCCAATCCTCAGCATCACATATAAATAAACAAATAAAGGTATTGTGTTCACCTACAACTAAAAAAAATTAAAGAAAAACAAAAAGATTCTTATCTTGAAAATGTGACTAACTGAGGAGGTAGCATCACTGATTCTACAGTTAGGGTTGGAAGAGAGAGCCCTAGTAAGGAAATTGAATTATTAGAAAGGAAAGGAAAACAGGCTTAGTACCTAGATTCTTGGGAAAGAAAGACACCAGAGAACCTGGTTTGGGCCCAAGAAGGGAGCAACAGAGAGGTCCATGAGAAGTTCTTGGTTGTGTAAGCTTGTGTGAAGCCAACTGTACCTTGCATATGCACTGAGCACTCATGAAGAGACTCCGATTTCTACTTTCATGCAGTCGGGTCGGGGGTATGGAAATTGATAGCTTGAAGAGAGCAGGGTATCTGGGAAGGAAATGTGTCTTTTGGGAAGTAAAGCATGTTACTGTCATGAGTAAAGCTCACTTCAAAAGCATGATTAGGACTTAAAAGATTTGCAGATCTTCCAGACCAGGACTTTGGCTGAGATACAGCTAGAAGACTGTGGTTCTTCCAACTCAGGTTATGATGAGGAGTACCTCAAGAGAGATCCAGATACATCCAATGGGAAATATGGAATCAGACCCAAGTGACCCCTGCCTACCCTGAGAGTCCTTTATATTCACGACCAGTTTCCTTTGTTTATTAATTTAAAAAATTATTTGAAAAGATCAGTCTTTTTTTTTTTGACTGAGCCATAGGATAAAGAGATTTTTCTATACCTTAATGGGTAAAATGAGAAGTGAAGATGAGGTAGGGTTGAGGGAAAATCTCATAGAGATGTAGTCAATTCTATTTTACCCCCTGTGTCATCATGAGGTGTGCATTGGATTTTAACTTGTATTCCCAGGTTATTATTCTATTCAGTTTGCTCTTCTGAACATATAACAGAAAACCAAGGCTTTTGTATAGCAGGTAGTTCCTGAGTGATGTAATTAAAATCTGTCAAATTGATCCAAAAAATAAGTGTTCTGCCATCCAATAAGTTTGGGAAATGATCTATCTCTTCAGGATATTTAAGTTAAAGTTTCTGATGAGTTCTTCTGCAAAATAACCTAATTTAATAATTTTTCAAAGATGTATATTTCACTTATTCCTTCTTTCAATGCACTGTTAATGAGAATCTTCTTGGTGTCATTGTGTTGGGCCTGTGAGACATATTGATGGCCCTCCATGGCTTCCTGATACCCAGAGATGGTCTGAGGTTCTGCCTCCCTTGCAGATGATTCCTGGAACATTCCAGCATGTTCTTGTCTCAGGTCCTATTTCTATTCATGAGAATGGTGTTTCCCACAAAATTTGCACACCTTGCTCTTTCACTTCAGGTTACTACTTAATCAGGCCTTATCTGATCATTATGTTTTAGAACAATTATCAACCATCACATTCAAATTCCTTACTTTGATGACTCACCTGCTACAAATTTATTTATTTGTTGTCTTTCTATCCCACAAGAAGGTTAATTCCCCACACTTAGAAGGGATGACTATAAATTGAATGGATGATTAAATGAATGAATGAAAGAATGTGAAAATAGTTAACAATTATTGAATCTCAAAGTTTATATTTAGCCCAATTTGTAAAAAGAGAATTAAAATTTTAATAATATAATACATGTTATGTTGTGAAAGAACAAAATGCAAGAGAATAATATAGGATTAGCCCTTTACTCTCTAATACAAAAGGCTTCCTAGAGGATGTGCTTCCTAAACCAAGGATTGTGAAGTGCAAGAGATGAGAGACAGTGTATTCATTCATAAAATAAAAGGTGTTCAGTTTGACTGACAGCAGTGCAGCATAGAGTGAGACAAGAGGCTTCAGAATTAGGCAAATTCTTGTAAACTTAGTTTGAATTTCATCCTTGGTTCCAGGTGGGATGTGGAGGGGGTCACATTAAGGGTTTTAAATAAGGAAAGTAAAAACATTTTCATTTTGGAAACACTAGTTAGAAAATAGATTGGAGGACCTGATTGGGAGCAGAGAAACCAGCTCTGGTGATTGTTGCAATAATCTAATTTTGAGGTACTTTGACAGCTTAAACAAGCATAGAGGCAACAGTGATAAGACAGGAATCATTGGGTTCAGGAGATGGTTAAGAGGTACAATTTACAGAATTTGATGAGTCATTGGGTTAAAGGATAAAGTGAAATAATG